AGAGTTTGTTTTAGGTTCTGCAAAAATTTCAAAACTTCGCAAGCGAAGCATTTTTTAATGTTGAAATTTTAAAATAATGAATATGACATAGTCGAAAAGTGGAGAGGTTTCCAAAAATTACCCCCAAAATGAGAAATGAAATTAAACTTTCTTATAAATATCATTTAAAATATTTTCTGCTCTATCCGTTGGTGCAAACAGTCAGTTTCCGAAGTTTTTAGTTTGTTCGTTAAAAGAAGGTACATGCAAAACATCCTTTCAAATTAAATTTTTAAAAATCTAAATCGTAGTTTGAAAAAATCGTTTCACCATATTATTTTATCATCCAAATTGTATTGTGTGTACAAAATTTTAATATGATAACTTTCAATTATTATTAGTTTGTAAATCGATGGCAAACTTTTGACCATACCAACAAACGCCATACCTAAAACAACACAGAAGAGAATTACGGTAAAGTGAAACATAAAATTAGCAAATCGACAACCTTGTGTTTGGCGTAGACTTAGTCAAGAACTCAATCGATTTCGAGGGAGAGAAGGCATAGGTCCGTCTTCATCAGAAGCGAAGAAATCTGCAAGACTGGACCATACTAGTTGAACTAAATGAAAAGTGGACTAAATAGAAGCTTCTAGAAACAACTTACACGGATAACTTATTTTTAAATTTCAAATAAGGAAAATAAATAAAAAATATATAAAAAAAGCATAGGATTTATTCTGTCGTATTTTAAACAATTATTTTATTTCGATAATTTTACATTTTGGCTTCACAGCGACAGCGTTTTGCAGAATCAATCATAGATGGTGTGTCTGCCGCTCCGTTATTCCTTTCTGTTGTCCTCATTTCAAAGTAAGATTTATTCATAGAGATTATTTTAGTTAGAACCGTCTGAGTAAACAATTTTGAGCCCAAATACAATTTTTTTTCTGTAAATATTTATAGAAAATGAATGACGTTTAAGGATTCATGTCACGTTTTTCAAAATGCATAGGGGAAAGAAAGAGTTCTTTTCTTGGTATTTTAAGCAAGTAAATTTTAAAATGCTTTGAAAATATTCAGTTGCGCAAAAAATATTAAAGCATTTTATGAGATAAATAATGCTTGAAGTATTTCGTTTAAAAAACTGCAGATTGAAATAAATTAAAATACTTCTCTACTGAGATATCTAATGTAGAAATTTCTTATATATTTATATGATGTATAAATGTTCATAAAAAAGGATCAAAGTACAGACGTTCAATTTTCTGTTACGTAAACACAGAGGAGGGGGCTCTCAAACATCGCTCTATTTTATGCATTTTAAAAAGATAAAATTTTAAAATAATGTACTATTATTATTATATATGAATTAATACACTTTGCTGGTTATATTGAAGTAATTAATTTTTTAAACTCTAAAATTAATGCATTAAAAATTAATTTTTAAATGACATACGAAAAAGTGCGAAACAATTAATCAAATAAATAAAATAAACACTATTTACTTGAAAACTAAACTATTTAATAATATTCCATCTACAGAATCTGGATTATATAAAATAATGCAAAAAGTATAACATATAAAGAATATTAAAAAACTGCAGCACATTATTTCAAGCATTTTGAACACAATTTTTGCAAATTCTCCTAGCACATTCATTATATATTGGATTCTTGCAGCTGAACCAGAGATAGGTAGTTTTTCTTCTCAGTCTAGGGGGAGAAAGCATATTTTACGCTTTTTAAGGGTATCAGCTATATCTGGACTAGAACAGATTCCTCTGGAATCTCCTAGCACTCTCTGAATGCACATTTTTACTTCTCGGTTCACAGTTGGCTTTTGAAGCCCCCGTTCCATATGTGATTTCACTAATTCTGATAATAATTCCATCATAAAATCAGTTTTTTTTCAGTTTGGCACTATCACAACGAGTGATTAACACAACATGTGTATTAATTCAACTTACATCAAGTAACCTAAAGAATATGGCCATTGGCCACCGACTTCTTCATCGGCTTGTAGAATGCTTAGATCATTTTTCATCCAATTCATCTATACCGTCTTTAGTCAAATTGCGAAATGTTATTATTTCTGTTTTCTCAGTTTCAAGGTAGGTCTTCTAATTTCAAATAATGCATTAAAGAAATGAGAATAACACCTTTTAACTTCTGAGGCACATATAAAACGAGAGTCGTTCTAACTGTGAAATGGTTAGAACGACATCACTTTTAGTTTTATTTGGAAAAAATTCACCAGGTATTTCTCTCTTACTTTTTTCATAGTACCGACATATGTCAAATCTCTAGAGTTAAGTTCTTGTACAAGTTCGACAATTAAATAGTGATAAAGGCATTTCCCTGCTCATGCGAGAGAAAAGTAACGTAAACGCAGAGGTGAGGTCTATATGACAGCAGCCCGATCTTAAAAATTATTTTAAAAAAAAACTAATGGATAGAGTTTAATAAAAATTTAAGAATAGTTATATTTTATGTCAACTTGAAAGTACTGAAAAATAAAAGAATAACTCTATATCTTATAAGCAGTTTCGCAGTTCTAAAATATTGGCACGGTCAAACAGACCCCATCTCTGTGTTTAAGGGCTAAACATGTTATAAAATTAAACAATTAGGCATATTATTAAATCTAAAGTAAAGTTATAAATTATTATTTAGACTGTTTATTGCTTTTACATAATTCAATTTTGAAGCAACTCTAATTGTAGCTGAAAATTTAGAAACCTTATATAGTGTTGCGTTCTACGGGCTCGTGGATTTGAAGCAATTGACGACAATACTTGACTAAGAATCAAAACACAATTTATTCGAAAGTATTACACAGAAGAGTTGGAAAGACCCGTTTACATTTGTCGATACACTACGATAAACACGCTGAAACAATCAGAAACAAAATCTTCAGGATACAACGCTGAAGACAGTTTCAAGGCAAAGCACTAACTCGATTCGGTCACTCTCAAGTTAATCTCTGAACTCAAACACGATTAAGTTCAACATACTCTAGATACTCTGCGTACAGGCAGAATATGCCTTCGGGAACATTCTCAGGAAAACCGGTAAGAATTCGTTCGAGATTGATCACGCTGCACCTATTACATATTGCCAATCCTGTCGCCAGATGTCACCAAATGGGCGAATTTTCGCCAAATCTGACAACCCTGCTTTTCTTTGCCACTTTCCGGCAACCCTAAACCCGATTTGCGGAGAAGCTATCTTATCGCAGCTGGGTATTTCGCAACAATACTATTGAATTGCAGCACCCTGAGTAGTAGCTGTTTGCCAAGCTTTGTAGAAGACTTAGGTGCAACAGGACACTTCTATCAGGCTCCTAGGCGATAGCCGCATTCTGAGTAGAACATATAACAAGTGAATTAAAGATTTTTTGTCTTACGCAACAGCAACACTTGCCAAGTAGATGATAAATGTCTGGTAGCGTAAAATAATTAATGAATTTTTTTGGAGTCTCCTTCATGGATATTCCAAATGTCAAAACAAAAAACAGCAATTAAGTTTTAAATCAACTGCTATGTAAAAGTCGAAAATTTCAAATATGGAAAATCACTCTATATTGTAAAGTACTTAAAAACACTTGATTTTCAAACTGGGTTCGACATAACTTCCATCACTAGCTCAAGTTCGATATAAGGTATGAAAATTTGTGTTTTTCACTTTAGTTTGTATTCATTTAATTATTACAATTATCAATATTTTTTTTCGCTCACTTTGTCGTCTAATTATTTGTAAATTGTTTGGGCTCATATATCAGCCGATAATCAAAGTTTAGTACCAAAGATTTTGTAAGAAATTTTCGGCTTGTACGGCAATTTAATTTAATTTTAAATATAGAGTTTCACTAAAATTACTTTGCGAAGCAGAAAAATATACATGATTCTAAGTTACAAAGATATATTTTCGAGTGCTTTAAATGTCCACGAAAATTAAGTCTCATATAAAGGCCACTGATTCTTCTGGAGAAATTGTATATTTAGAGATTTATTAATCTGTCACGAGTACTGAAGTTAATACTTAGACCAGGAATTCTCAACTTTTTGTTTCTTGCATCGACGCCTTTTAAAGTAATGTTTCTCTTCATGTATCCCTTACATTTTTCTTTATAATATATTGTATATAATATACTTGTACATATTACACATTTACACTACAAACGGTTGCACGTAAATAACTCACAGATAATAATTAGATTAGGAATATGAATAAAAGTTTTGAAAATTTTATTTACGTTTAATTACTTTTTGCATTATTATTTTGATTAATTTTACAAACATAAACAAGTTTTCAGAAATAAAATCATATATTCTAATCACACAATAATTCGATTTAAATGAATGTGATGGTTCTGTTTGATATATTGATGAATTTTTCAACTATTTGGCATAACATTTTTTAATTCAATTTTTAAAACACACCGTAATTAGTGATTGAAAAAACATTTTTGGTTCTTAAAAAATATATGAAATAGTTTTTATAGTTTTACTTCTTATATTTATTTTAAATGATCTCTTTCTCATTGAAAGATCATTGACATTTTTATGTCAATAAGCAATTGATTATCAATTTTATAGACAACTTTTTTTTGGTGATTGATGAGATCTTGATTAAGCAGATCCATTTGTCAGTTCATATTACGCTATCGACCATTGCTCATCACTGATTCTTTTAAAATTTCATCGCCCTTGAAGGGTTTCAATTACAACGTCCTCGGAAATCCCTTACTTCGACTTTTTATTCGATAATAAGCTGTGAACAATAAGCAGGAAAAAAAATAATACACTACATGTATCGAATATTTTGTTGCGTAAGAAGTGTACCAAGTATTGATTTGACTTACTTACGAAAGCATCACGCAAAGCAAAACGTGGAGAAAAGAAAAGAAACAAAAAATTAACTCGCCCTTCTGGAAATTCTCTTCATTTTGGTTTCCAGGTACGGTCAATAAAAATATTCATCGACTGAGTGAGTCCGGGTGTCTGCCGGACAGTTGTTCCGGCGCTTTGCAGAGCGCAGCCGCGCTTTCTCATCAGCTATTCACCCCGAGTATCACCAGATTGGCTTTAGGCATTGTGGCGATGCGTTGCTTGTCCCCGGCCCGGCGTCAGCCGGGCTCGATATTTTACGTGGAGAAGAGGCCGGATCCCCGGACACCAGAATGGAAGGAAGCCGCTTACTCCGTGCGTTGGGGTGAGTAGTGAATTTTTTTGTTTTTCCAGCTTCTCTAACACCGTAGCTGGCGAGCACGTGACTTGGCAGAAGCCATGCTGTCATGGCGTGATGTAACTTTCGTTAGTGATTTAAAAAATGTCTCGTTGTTCCATTCTGATTGAAAAAAAATTAATTAAGTCATTTAATTAATATTGTATTAGAGTCTAATAAAAGGTAAATGGTAAATCTAGGTTAGGCAAATCTTTAGCATTTTTAGTTTCATCAACAAATTCGCAAAATTTAAAAAGAAAAAATTAGAAAGAGATAAAATCTTCAAGTTTTCAGGTTTTATATTAGGCACAAAGGGGTGTTTTTTAATGTTTTGTGTGTTACCTTTATTAATCAAATATCATGTTCTTCACATTTGAACAATAAAATTCAATTTAACAAGAATATCCCAAAAAAAGAAACCCCGCGCACAAAATATCCATGCTTGAAGTTGCACGCGATGTTAATGCTAACGGAACGCCTTGAAATAGTAAAGTTTGTTGATAAAAAATTCGTTAAAGTCTTAAAGAATATGAAAGATATATTAAAACAACTTCCAAATTCCAAATTTGGGCTTCCAGAAGCCCATAGTCGAGTAGAGGACTACGTTATTCAAAATTTGATGTCTCTAGGTACCGCTGTTTTATCACAGTGCGAGAAACATACATACATTCATGCAGATTCTTCATTATTTAATTTCCTTAAATATAATGCAGGGCTCTAATATATGGTGGCAACAGTTTGAAAATTGATTCAGAATTTTACAGGGAACCGACGCAAAATGCCAAAGCGAAATTAATAGCCCCTGTGAGGTAACGCTCCTCCTTAAGAAGGTCGCTCCTACTCGTTTTTAATTTTTGCATACCGCCAACCTATACACATACGTAAGAAGAGCGATGTTTTCAGTCCCAAAATTTGATACTGAGTTTTCAATGAATAAATACGAATTAGGGATCTCACAACATATTCGCCCAGCAGCGGCTGAGCGGTAGCGTCGCTGAAAACTGGTAGTTCGGTTCGAGGTTCGAATCCCACGAACGGGCTGGCTGCATGGGCGTTTTGATGGTTTTCCCCATGTGTAACGTGCATACGAGCCAGTTTCCCTTAGAAAGTCCTCCACGAAGGTATCCCTCCCTTAAGGCAGATAGCCCTCGAGTGCTTTGCCGTAATCTAATAAAACCAAAAACCACAACATATTTTTACTATCTTCATAAAACTGTCTGTTTGACTGTGTGGTCGTTTATCTGTGTATCTCTGTGCGATGATTTTTCGCTGCATGATAACTCTTACACGAAACTTCCAAAATTTTATGATTTTCGTATTTAAAATTTCTGCATTCATATAAACAGTTGTTTAGTTTCTTCGCCTATACCTCTCTTCGCCGCCCAACCGCGATAGTGGTTAGTGACAATAACAGCCGTACCGAAGGTCCCGGGTTCGAGTCCCGGAGAAGGCATGAATGTTTGTAAATGTATAAAGTCTATGCGGTATGAGGGCATTCAAATGTGCGGTGAGCCGAAAGTCCTCTTGAGAAGTTGATGGTAGGGGAAGAGGGGTGGGAGAGCCTGAGGCCCATCCCTCGGGTTTCTCTCCTTCAAATTTGGGAGCGGAACTGAACAAAGTCGTATTGGCATCTGAATGGTGTTGCCAATGACAGCCAATTATCCCGATGAATTTCTTGAGATTGTTCTGATGTCAGACAAGGGAGATTAATCACAACAATAATAAATATCTCTCTTTTGCCGCCCAGACGAGTACGTGGTTGCTGACTCTGACTGCTGTACCGGGTTTGGATCCCCGAGAAGGCAGGGGTGTAAATTGTCTGCGTTTTTGTAGGAGGCAACGGTAGTCCACATTATTAGGTGCCTCCATAATAAAGTGACCAGCGCTTCTGGCCTTAGTAGTGGCCATCGCTTATAATGGGTATCGTTCCCTATTAAAAAATATGAATAAAATTAAAAATTTTCTTTCTTTTAATTATTGCATTACGATTTTAGAAAGCACTAAAATTCCCTAAAGGGATAAACTGTTGTTGGCTTTCCTCGCGATGGAGGGGAAATATAGTTAGAAAACACAGGAACGATGATATGATATGATGTATAGATCCGGCACTGTGCCGCGTATAATATTTCATATTTGTTCTAATCATGTTTATTATTGTTTAATAATAAATAATCGAAAGACAACTACTGTGAATTAAATAACTCAACACTTCAAAACGAAGACACCACATACCTTTTTAAAATTTCGAAATTCGGTTCGTGCTTCCTCAGACAAATTCAGCGGTGTCTTATCAGTTTTCTTAGCCTCTTTTAAATACTAATGTATCTGATTCTGGGCTACCTTGGGTAAAAATGTAAAAATCCTAAAAATCTCTGCATATCTGTTACTGTTTTAGGAAGTAGGTAGTTAAGTATCGGTTCAACTTTGTTCGGCAGAGGCTTGGTACCGTTTTTATTGATTAAATGCCCTAAGAAAAATATTTCGGAAACGCCAAAAACACATTTCGCATCGTTAAATGTCAATCCGTATGAAGTTAATTTTTCAAAAACAGTACGTAAGTAAAATTTGATCGTCTTCAAATGATCGTCTTCTGTATCACTAAATATCAAAATATCATCCAAGTAGACATTAGCAAATTTTAGGTCCCCAAGAATTTCGTTCATAAACCTTTGAGAGGGCTGTTCTGCACGGTCCGAAATTTAGAAAGACCAAATGGACTGCAAACTGCAGTTTTTTGTGTATTATCTAGATGGACCGGTATATGACGAGTTACTGTGCGTTGATGATGACACGAGTTACAATCACCAATTGGGGGAATGGGGGAAGGGACTTGCAATTGTATTGAAATGCCTATTTTCACACAACTACAAGTCACAAACTACGACAGTTTGAAGATTGGTAGTTTAAATCCCGAGAAAGTTTCATTTCATTTATTCTCCATTTGTTTTTACCCGAAATGTATAATATTCTCTAGAGTGTGATCCGAACTAAAATATAGAGAACTTTAATTCATCCCCATGTGGAATTTATCGACTGATTTTTATTCTTTTTCCCAGTCGTGCTTTAACTGGGGAAGAGCGTAAGGAACTTTGGCATTCCTCAATGCGTGCTGAGCCCACCAGCTGCCGAGCGGTTTGAACACTGGTAGTTCGGTTCGAGATCTGGTTGCATGGGAGTTTTCGTGGTTTTCCCCATGTGTAACGTGTATACGAGCCATTTTCTCTTAGAAAGTCCCCCCCCCCAGAAGGCATCCCTTCCCTTAGGCAGATATCCCTTGAGGTTTTGCCATAATCACACACACACACACTAAGCGTGCTGATGACTAACCGTTGAGTTAACCGCTAAGAAAATCACCTAGGTAAAAAAAAATTGAAATCGTTCCTATGATAAACAATAATATAAGCTACAACTGACATTTTTGAAAAATTCAGAAAATAACCTTATACATTTTCCTGCAAATTTATTATGTGAACCTGAAACTGAGTCATCATATTATGATTGGCATTATCATAGCATTATGATTGAGATTCAGCATAACCAAATGCATCACTAATCTATAACTATGTATTGAAAACTGTAGTAAAGTAGATAGATACTTTATTCATAGCTTTGGACAAGGGATGAAAAAGATGAATGTATTAACAACTTTGCATTTGAACACAGTATTTGATTTTATAGCATGGAAAATTAGGGAAACAGTCTTTCATCGATAAAGTATGATATCGTAAAGAAATTCTGATTGAATAGACTCATTTTTTAAAACTTACAGGAGAATGAAATTTCGTTACCTAGGAAGCGTGGAGAAAAATTTACTCTGATGTCTGCAAAATGGGATTGATGAATAAAGTTTTCAATGCGCATGTGCGATCTTCAATCCGAACTTAAAGTGAATAAAAATTCTCATAAAAAAGCCAATACGAAGCACATGCCAAATCCCGAATCTGAGTGACATAGTAACATATGTGCGGCGTGTTTTTTTGTTTTTTTTTTTTTTTTTTTTTTTTTCGTAGGACTGTACATCAGTGATCTGAAACTCAAATTGAGCGCGGGCCAAATGCATGATCTGGAACATAACAATGAACGAAATGAAATTTTTTCTTTTAGTGAAACGAAAATGCTTTATCAGCAAATCAAAAAATGCTCTAAATGCATTTTAAATTTAGCTTACTAAATATTTATTAAAACATGCATTAGCAACAATAACGCAGAGGAAACAAATTCAGATTTAGATTTTCGGGCGAAATCTTGCAGAACCTGTACGACATTTTGTTGTAAATCTCAACTCAGATATTGACAATAAATTAAATTTTCAGAGTCACGGCTTGCAATTATGCTAATTATATTTAATTAATCTTTAAATAACTTACTATAATTTAGATTATCTAAATGCTTTCAGATTTTATATTACACCCAAAACTAACACTCAAATTCCATTCAGTAAGATTTCACAGCATTCTGACATAGTTGAAACGAATTTAGAATGTGAAATAAAATATTCCGTTACCGTTTGTGTATATAGGATAAGGTGGCAACCATGGGCACTTCACCCCCGCATCACATTTGATAAGGTGACTCCCAGAAGGAAACTGAAGCGTATCATATATGATACGCTAATAGTGAAGATGTTAAATCATTACTGAATTTTAGACTTTCAAAACACTAATAAGGCATTTTCTCCCTCCTTCTTAGCATGCCTTCTCTATGTAACGGTTAGCACATTCGGCGCGCATTTGGAGAGATCTAGGTTCGAGTCCCGGCGAGGGCATTGCTCATTTTACGTGTGTCCAGCATCAATTGTCCTAATAATAGTACAGTGGTGTCCGAACTGAAAAGTGGTGGATGATGATACACCAGGATTTGATGACTGATGGCTACCCTAATCTGCAGTCGCCCATTAAAAGGGCCAGCACATAAGGTGTTTCCTCCCTCCTCCCAGCATACCTTCGTGGTGTAACGGTAGCACACTCGGCGCAATTTCGAGCGGTCCA